CACACACACACACACTATACACACACACACACACACACTCACACACATGCACGCACACGCACACACACACACACTCACTCACTATATACGCACGCACGCACGCACGCACACACACACACTTTTATTTTCAGGTTTATTTGACAGGGACAATGCACATCAATAATACATAAATGTGAGCCTGGAGCACAAAAGCAGTCTTAAGTCGCTGGGGTATATTTGTAGCAATAGCCAACAATACATTGTATGGGTCAAAATTATACATTTTTCTTTTATGCCAAAAATCATTAGGATATTAAGATCATGTTCCATGAAGATATTTTGTAAATTTCCTACTGTAAATATATCAAAACTTAATTTTTGATTTGTAATATGCATTGCTAAGAACTTAATTTGAACAACTTTAAAGATGATTTTCTCAATATTTTGATTTTTTTGCACCCTCAGATTCCAGATTTTCAAATAGTTGTATCTCGACCAAATATTATCCTCCTATCCTAACAAACCTTACATCAATGGAAAGCTTATTTATTCAGCTTTCAGATGATGCATACATGTCAATTTCGAAAAATTGACCCTTATGACTGGTTTTGTGCTCCAGGGTCACATATAACAATGTGCCAGAATTAGCCAGAAGGCTATTTTGCATCTGCAGTCCCTGGACTGATGGTAAAATTGTCACCCTAAAAATATGATGACATTATGATTACAAATTACATGGTCAAAAAAATTACAAATTAGAAAAAGTTACATTTGATTAAATATTAAAAATGACATTTAAAAATGACAAGGGTCAAAAAGTGTTATTTTAGTATCAATGTACTATTGTAGCTTTCATTAGTATTTTGAATTAGTTTTTGTTTTTTACTTTCCGTGCTCATTTCAATTTTAGCTAGTTTCATTAATTTTGTTGTGTTTTTGTAATTTTTTTATACTAGCTTGTGTTGTTTTATGACAATGTCTATATAGTTTTTTATTAATATTTTTTTCAGTTTTAGTTTTAGTAATTTTAGTATTTCAACTTAACCTTCAGGAAAATTACAAATGCCTTGGCAGCTAACTGAAATAAAATGTTTGGTTTTTATATTTTTGTTTCAGTTAACATTGATTTATTTATTTACAATTAACTTAAGTATTTTTCTAGTTTTAGGTTTAGTTAACTATAATAACCCGGGGTCAAAACAAACAAACAAAAACACATTAAAAATTACATTTGGTTAAAAACATGACAAATGTAGGAAAAAAATAGCATTTGATAAAAAAAATTATAACGTCAAAAAAACATTTAATTAAAAGATGAAACATGGATGCATTGATGTTTACAAAATAAACATGCGTTATAATGTTGATATTGTGAATATTCATTTCGAGGCAAATTTAAAGATGCTCTAAGCTTTTTTTATAGAAAAAGTCTGTCACATCTGATTTTGTAAACAGCACAAATTCATCTGTGAGTGGACCACGCTGTTTTAGCCAATCAGAACCATGTTCAGGTTTGCTGACATCGGATTGGATGGCGTGTTTCTGGAGGGCGGGGTTAGCTACAGAGCTTACAGCAGTCTGTTGCATTACCGTTTACAATTCTATGTAATTGGGTGTATTCATTATCTCATTATTATTTCCCTCTGTTTTTCCCAGGTTCACCCACTCCAGTCATCTCCTGGTCGAAGCTGCGGGCGCCGTTGCCATGGCAACACAAGGTGAACGGCGGGATTCTGACCCTTAATAACGTGGGTCGACAGGACTCAGGTACAGCTGCTCTGCAAACATGAAAAACCATGTCTGATATTGCCTTATACTGGACTCAGTTGGGTCTCTCTGTGTGTCAGGCCAGTACATCTGTAACGCCACGAGCGCCCTGGGCTTCAGCGAGGCCTACGTGCAGCTGGAGGTGGACTGTGAGTGACAGAAACACTCTTATCTCTGCTGACCTTGTCGTTGCAGACAGACGTTTACATTTGAGTCAGATGGTCACAGGTCAGTGTAAACGTTGACTTCGTCAGGCTCAGAGTCAGCTGCGGTCACTGGACTTCGGTCGTATTCTGGGAACCTAAATACATGGGAAGCTGAAAAAGAGCAGCAAAAGTCATCAGGTGGAGTTTAGTTTCAGATAAAGGGAGAAACTGCGTTTGATAGCAGCATTAAACTCAGACAAATGCAATCACACAGTCAGGGAGCGCAGCGAAAGACAGCATGTGTGTAAATGATGATGGAGTGTGCGGAAACATCACGTATTAATCATTAATCAAACAGTTTTCATGAGAATACGTTCACAGTCACATTGCACACCACACACAAAAATATATATATATATATATATATATATATATACTGCACAAAGAAAAAGAAGCGAGTTTTAAG